CCAATGACTATTATTAAGTATTGTACCTGATGATTCTTGACTCTTGACGAATGTCTCTTTTCTTTTATGTACACTGAGAGCATTTGCACCAAGACAAATTCCTTGTGCGTCCAATCACACTTGGCCAATAAAAGAATTATATTCTATTCCTATTCTATTCCTATTCTGTTCCTATTCTATTTCTATTTCTATATTTCTATTTCTATTTCTATTATTTCTATTTCTATTCTATGCTATTCTTTAAACTGTTTTCCTAATATGATTTGATTGCTTATTGTACCCTATGACTATTATTAAGTGTTGCACCTGATGATTCTTGACTCTTGACGAATGTATTTTTTCTTTTATGTACACTGAGAGCATTTGCACCAAAGACAAATTCCTTGTGTGTCCAATCACACTTGGCCAATAAAGAATATTCTATTCTATTCTATTCTATTCTATTCTATTCTATTCTATTCTATTCTATTCTATGCTATGCTATGCTATGCTATGCTATGCTATGCTATGCTATGCTACGCTACGCTACGCTATGCTATGCTATGCTATGCTATGCTATGCTATTCTCTACTCTACTCTATTCTCTCAATGGACTACCTGTACAAATAAATATCCTTTAAACACACACACACACACAGAGAGAGAGATTAGAGGAGGAAGTCCCCAAAGCAGCCAAAAGAAATGAGAAATAGGGGTGGCCAGCATCAGCCCTGCCAAGCCAAGATCCACATCCCAGGCCGGGTGAGGGGGTGGGGGCAGGCAGGATTTTCAGCTCCTACGTTCCCCCTTGGGGTGGGAAATCATCGTTTGGAGTGTTCTACCTCCAGGGGTCCTCCCTCCACCCCTTCCTTGCACCTTACCTCTTGGCAGACCTGTTTGGTGTAGATCTGACCGTCGGTGGCTGCCTTCCCCACACCTCGCCCAGCCGGGAACGAAGTGTCCTTATATTGCACAAAGGAGCTGGAGAACGGAGCCAACAGTGTGGAAAGGTGTGCCTAAGAGAAGCTCTCACTCGTGTGCTAACGACAGAGAAGATCAGAGCGGAACAGAGAACACCAGAGTGGGAAAGGGGCCTTGGAGGTCTTCTAGTCCAACCCCCTGCTCAAGCAGGAGAGGCCCTGTACCTTTCTGGACCAAATGGTCGTCCAATTGGCTTGAAAACCTCCAGTGTTGGAGCACCTACAACTTCCGGTGGCAAGCAGTTCCACTGGTTAATTGTCCTCACTATTAGGAAGTTTCTCCTGAGTTCCAGGTTGCTTCTCTCCTTGGTTCGTTTCCATCCGTTGTTTCTTCTCCGGCCTTCAGGTGCAGCGGTCGCCAACCAGTGGGCCATGGCCCATTGGTGGTCCACGAGATAATTTTGGCAGTTCGCAGAGAAATGTCCCCCCCCCCCAAGGCCCCCCCCCCCCAAAGCAATTAATCCAGGCTGCGTGGGAAACAAGGCTGACCTGCCCAAATGGCCCGCGGGAACCCGCCCCGCCCTGAACTTGCCTGCTAAATTGCTGTTTTTCCTTTTTTTTTTTTTTTTTTCCGACCATCTGCTGTGCTGGGAGATTTAGATTAGCTAGGAAGCAGGAAATGGTTGGATTTCTTGCTTTCTAGCCAGTCTTTAGATCTTCGGCTCTGCTTTTAAGCACAGCCGAACCTCCCTTAGGACTGAAGTTTCTATTATTCAGTCCAGGCTCACGGCAAGCAAATTTTATGGGACAGACTGAGCTAGCTGATGGCAGATAGATAGATCACTGAATGATTCTGTGAGCAACTCAATCTGCCTGCCTGCTTTGCCTGATTTTGGGTAAAAGTTGCTCTTTTTTATAAAAAATTCAATATTTACATAAATATTTATAATATTTACATATAAGCCATGCCCAGCCAGTCACATGACCACCAAGCCACACCCACAAATTAGGCCACACCCACAGAACTAGTTGTTAAGTTGAATTCCATCCCTGTCTGTGTGTGTGTGTGTGTGTGTGTGTGTGTGTGAAAGAGAGAGGGGGGGGAGGGAGGGAGGGAGAGAGGCTAGATCATATCTCTCTCTCTCTCTCTCTCCCACCAACATCAGCAAACCACCATCAGTCAAATTCATATTTGTGGATGTGGGATTTAAAATTATGAGTTGGTGGTCACTGAGGTCCAAAAAGTTGGTGACCCCTGCTTTGGAGAACAGGTTGAGGCTAAGTAATATCTCTGGACACCTGTGGAGGAAGATAGGACCTTTCCTTTCTTTTCTGCTTTTCATCCTGGGTCTAAGCCAAGATGAAGCAATCTTTGGTGGCCAGCAGTCCATTTGCTCATAGAAAAACATGCTGGACCAGTTATCATCTTCTCAAGAAGGTTGCCTTGAGGGGCCTCTCTGACCCTTTCCTCCCTCCTTGCAGGACTTGGGTGGAGAGGAATTCAGAAGTGGTCATAGCGTCCACTTCAACCTGGTGATGGGATGAGGGACCTCGTGTTCTCAATCTTTTCCTTGGGCAAATCTATTCAACTCTAACTCCTGTTGACTTCATGGCTGCACTACCCCTGTGGGTTTGCCAGAAACTAAAAAAAGGGTTAGGATGGGAGACCACCAGGAAAGGGCAGGTCCATCATTGGGGAAGTTGAGAATTGAGCCCACTGAAGGCCAAGCATGTGTGAAGTTAGGATTTCTGAGCTTTGTCTGGATCGTGTCCAGGATGGAGAAGACTCTAGACTCTAGAGCAGAGGCCCCCAAACTTGGCAACTTTAAGACTCGTGGAGTTGAAGTCCACAAGTCTTAAAGTTGCCAAGTTTGAGGACCCCCTGCTCTAGACCATCCTTGGCCAAAAGTTGGCCAAAACATCTAGCCTCCAAACATCTACATGAACATCCCTCTTACACAGAACAGCAGTCCTGCATGAGACCGTATTTGTGCCCTTTCTCCCCAACTCCCAAATGCATCTTCACCGACCACCAATCCCCACCCAAGAACTCTGGGTACCCCTCAAGAGGAAGGGGCCCTCTCAGACATCCAAGGAAGCCACTGGCTGCCCTATCTATCAATCAGAAGAAAGCCGGAAGGGACCTTGGAGGTCTTCTAGCCCAACCCCTTGCTCAAGCAGGAGCCCCTATCCCATTCCAGATAGGTGGTTGTCCAGCCTTTTCCTAAAATCCTCCAGTGTTGGAAGCACCTGCAACTTCTGGTGGCAAGCAGTTCCACTGGTTAATTGTCCTCACTGTGAGGAAGTTTCTCCTTAATTCCAGGTTGCTTCTCTCTCCTTGATCAGTTTCCATCCCATGTTTCTTGTCCTGCCTTCTGGTGCTTTGGAATATAAGTTGACCCCGCCCCCCTCTTTCTTTGGGGCAGCCCCTCAAATACTGGAAGGCTGCTATCATGTCTCTCCAGGCCTTTAAATCCTCTTAGTTCCTCTTCTCTGCCCTTTTCCCAAAGTCTCAACACCTTTTTTTGCAAAGCGGTGGCCAACACTGCCTGCAGCATTCCAGGTGTGGCCTTCACCAAGGCCCCGATATCCATCCCCAGCTCTTCGCAGCCCAAGGCCAGAAGATCAAAGTGAGGAACAATGATGGCTAATGAAAAGCCAGCCGGTGCCGCACAGAACGGGAGCGGACGTCAGCGTGATGAGGCGAGCACGCAATTCAGCTCAAATGCCAGCAGGGGCAGCCAGGCGGATCCTGGCATGTGGAAGCCAAATAGAGGCCAGGTTGGCCCACGCCCAAGAAATGGCCTGGCCTTTGTTTGTTTTTTTTAAAAAAAAAAACACCCCAAACTTCACTTGCCGTCTCTATTCACTCTTTGTTTTCTCACCCAAGGGCTCTTGTAATTGTACAATCCAACCCCTTGCCCTGGTTGGGAGTTTAAAGGTCCCAGATATATTGGCTGCCCAGGCATTATTGTAACCCACCTGAGAAGGGATAACCTGTCTTTATGTAAGGTGTGACTGCTAGCCATAACCATGGAAGAAAGAGAAGGGGAAGGGAAGGATAGGAAAGGGGAAGGGGAAAAGAGAAGGGAAGGGAAGGGAGGGAAAGGAAGGGCAGGGAAGGGAAGGGGAAAGGGAAGGCAGGGGGAGGGAGAGGGAGGGAAGGGAAGGAAAGGGGGAGGAAGGAGAAAAGAAGGAAGGAAGGGAAGAGGTAGGGAG